CCCGTGTCCCAAGGAGGGGGGGATGCCCTGGAGAAGGGGTGCCCGTGCCAGGGGGGCTGCGAGGGCACAGGCGGGGACAGGGACAGGGGACAGGGCACGGACACAGGACAGGGGACAGGGACAGGGGACAGGACAGGGGACAGGACAGGGGACGGACACAGGACAGGGGACACGGGACAGGGGACAGGACAGGGGACAGGGGACAGGGCACGGACACAGGACAGGGGACAGGGGACAGGACAGGGCCCGGGCAGGAGACAGGACAGGGGACAGGGGACAGGACAGGGGACAGGGGACAGGACAGGGGACAGGGGACAGGACAGGGGACAGGGGACAGGGCCCGGGCAGCAGCCGCGGGCTGGGATCCCCCTCTAGCGGCTCCCGCCGGACAGCCGAGGTCGTGAACGGGATCCCAATCCCGGCATTCCCCAATCCCGGCACCCACATTCCCCAATCCCGGCACCCACATCCCCAAATCCCGGCACCCACATCCCCAAATCCCGGCACCCACATTCCCCAAATCCCGGCACCCACATCCCCCAATCCCGGCACCCACATCCCCAAATTCCGGCACCCACATCCCCAAATCCCGGCACCCCATATTCCCAAATCCCGGCATTCCCCAATCCCGGCACCCACATTCCCCAATCCCGGCACCCACATCCCCAAATCCCGGCATTCCCCAATCCCGGCACCCACATCCCCCAGTCCCGGCACCCACATCCTGGTACCCCCGGCTCCCATCCCAGAGCGGTGCCAGGCCTCTGTCCCCCCCCGGGGCCACCTTTGCCCGCCGTGCCCCTCCCGTGCCAGCACCCCGGGACAGCCGGGACGGGCTCTGGGCATTCCCGGGGGGATTATTCCCGGGGGGGTTATTCCCGGGGGTGTCATTCCCAGGGAGCATTCCCGGGGTGTCATTCCCGGGGTATTCCCGGGGCTGTCACTCCCGGTGGTCCCTCCCGGTTGTCCCTCCCGGTTGTCCCTCCCGGGCTGTCACTCCCGGTTGGCACTCCCGGGCTGTCACTCCCGGGGTATTCCCGGGATGTCCCTCCCGGTGGTCCCTCCCGTTTGTCCCTCCCGGGTGTCCCTCCCGGGTGTCCCTCCCGGTGGTCCCTCCCGGTGGTCCCTCCCGGTTGTCGCTCCCGGTTGTCCCTCCCGGTTGTCCCTCCCGGTTGTCCCTCCCGGGGTGTCCCTCCCGGTGGTCACTCCCGGGTGTCCCTCCCGGTTGTCCCTCCCGGGGTGTCCCTCCCGGTGGTCACTCCCGGGTGTCCCTCCCGGTTGTCCCTCCCGGTGGTCCCTCCCGGGGTATTCCCGGTTGTCCCTCCCGGTGGTCCCTCCCGGGGTATTCCCGGCTGTCGCTCCCGGTTGTCGCTCCCGGTGGTCCCTCCCGGGGTATTCCCAGCTGTCGCTCCCGGTTGTCTCTCCCGGTGGTCTCTCCCGGGGTATTCCCGGCTGTCGCTCCCGGTGGGCGCTCCCGGGCTGTGTCTCCCGGGGTATTCCCGGTGGTCGCTCCCGGTGGGCGCTCCCGCGGTGCCACCGGCGCTGAGCCGTGCCCGTGCCCAGGCGCGGCGCTGCGGGCGCGGCCGCCGGCCCCGGCCGAGCTGGCGCTGCTGGCGCTGCTCGTGGCCATGCTCGCCTGCTCCAGCCCCTGCGTGCGCCGAGGNCTCCCGGGGTATTCCCGGCTGTCGCTCCCGGTGGGCGCTCCCGGGCTGTGTCTCCCGGGGTATTCCCGGTGGTCGCTCCCGGTGGGCGCTCCCGCGGTGCCACCGGCGCTGAGCCGTGCCCGTGCCCAGGCGCGGCGCTGCGGGCGCGGCCGCCGGCCCCGGCCGAGCTGGCGCTGCTGGCGCTGCTCGTGGCCATGCTCGCCTGCTCCAGCCCCTGCGTGCGCCGAGGCGGCCACTTCCAGGTGAGCCCGCGGAATTCCCGCCGGGAAGGCCGCGGCTGCCGCGCTGGGAACCGAGGGCACCCGTGGGTGCTGCCCCTGGGTGCTGCCCCCCCGGGACCCCGCGGCTGCCACGCTCGCAGTTCGGGATTCCCGGGATTTTCTGCCCCACGGGACCCGGGGGATGATTTCCCAGCTGGGAGGGAATTCCCGGAGGAGCTGCGGCTGCTCCTGGATCCCTGGGAGTGTCCCTGGAGCAGCCTGGGATAGCGGGAGGTGTTGGGATTGGAGCTGGGTGGGTTTAGGGACCTTCCCAAGGCAAATCCCAGAGATTCCAGGATTCCCTCGGGCTGCCTTTTCCCACTGGGATGCCCAGACAGCCCCACCAAGAAGCACCAATTGGGTCCAGCACTTCCCATGCCCACTCCTGTTCCCATTCCCATTCCCAGATTTTTTACTGGAGCCACCTCTCCTACATCCCCGTGTGGGTCCTGCTGCTCCTGCACGCTCCCCAGTTCTGGAAGTGGTTCCTCATTCCCGGCTCCCTGTTCGTGCTGGAGAAGGTTCTGGGCTGGGCGTGGCGCCGGGCGGGGGATGTGCACATCCTGGAGGCCAAGCTGCTGCCCTCCAAGGTGGGAGTAAATCCCAAAAATCCCCAAATATCCCAAATCCCAGACATCCCAAATCCCACCATCCTATCCACCACAAATCCCATAAATCCATCCATCCTAAATTCCTAGCATCGCACATCCCATCCCTCCATCCATCATCCATCCATCATCC